CTTAGATTGGGGGTCGGCGGCAAGCATGCTCCTTAGATTGGGGGTCGGCGGCAAGCATGCTCCTTAGATTGGGGGTCGGCGGCAAGCATGCTCCTTAGATTGGGGGTCGGCGGCAAGCATGCTCCTTAGATTGGTGGTCGGCGGCAAGCATGCTCCTTAGATTGGGGGTCGGCGGCAAGCATGCTCCTTAGATTGGGGGTCGGCGGCAAGCATGCTCCTTAGATTGGGGGTCGGCGGCAAGCATGCTCCTTAGATTGGGGGTCGGCGGCAAGCATGCTCCTTAGATTGGGGGTCGGCGGCAAGCATGCTCCTTAGATTGGGGGTCGGCGGCAAGCATGCTCCTTAGATTGGGGGTCGGCGGCAAGCATGCTCCTTAGATTGGGGGTCGGCGGCAAGCATGCTCCTTAGATTGGGGGTCGGCGGCAAGCATGCTCCTTAGATTGGGGGTCGGCGGCAAGCATGCTCCTTAGATTGGGGGTCGGCGGCAAGCATGCTCCTTAGATTGGGGGTCGGCGGCAAGCATGCTCCTTAGATTGGGGGTCGGCGGCAAGCATGCTCCTTAGATTGGGGGTCGGCGGGGAAGAATGCTCCTTAGATTGGGGGTCGGCGGGGAAGAATGCTCCTTAGATTGGGGGTCGGCGGGGAAGAATGCTCCTTAGATTGGGGGTCGGCGGGGAAGAATGCTCCTTAGATTGGGGGTCGGCGGGGAAGAATGCTCCTTAGATTGGGGGTCGGCGGGGAAGAATGCTCCTTAGATTGGGGGTCGGCGGGGAAGAATGCTCCTTAGATTGGGGGTCGGCGGGGAAGAATGCTCCTTAGATTGGGGGTCGGCGGGGAAGAATGCTCCTTAGATTGGGGGTCGGCGGGGAAGAATGCTCCTTAGATTGGGGGTCGGCGGGGAAGAATGCTCCTTAGATTGGGGGTCGGCGGGGAAGAATGCTCCTTAGATTGGGGGTCGGCGGGGAAGAATGCTCCTTAGATTGGGGTCGGCGGGGAAGAATGCTCTTTAGATTGGGGGTCGGCGGGGAAGAATGCTCCTTGCGTTGGGGTCGGCGGGGAAGAATGCTCCTTGCGTTGGGGTCGGCGGGGAAGAATGCTCCTTGCGTTGGGGGTCGGCGGGGAAGAATGCTCTTTAGATTGGGGTCGGCGGGGAAGAATGCTCCTTGCGTTGGGGTCGGCGGGGAAGAATGCTCCTTGCGTTGGGGGTCAGTAGGAGGAATTCTCCCTAAACAGATGGCTCTGGAGCTTCCTTTGGAGGAACCCTAGTTGAAGGTGTGACCATTGAAGGATGGACCAAATCCTGCTCCAATCACAAATTTACAAATTTCCCTTGATACTGTATCTGTTCACTGACAAAAGCCAACATTGCAAATGGTGAAACTGAATCATCATAACAGAGGCCCAGACAGCCATAAACTCCCAAAAGAGGTTCCACAGCTGGCCATGCACCAGCAGAATTTAATTTTTGAGACATTTGATCTATTTTCTTATTTTCTAACAGTTAATGGGGTCAAATCGACGGTGATTTTCAACTGTATTGAAATCGAAGGAGAAGGATTGAAAAATGTTCTTGAACAAATAAAATTCAAACTGCGAATGTGGTTTTCATTTGGGAAGACAGTACTATTTTAAAATGCACATGTTTCTCTCAAATTGGAACTTTGAATTTGAAACCTTGGCTTGGCAACTGAACAAAAATGTTGAGTGTTTTCTTACGAAATGTGCTGAGACCATGATGATACTCTCCAATGCTCTGAACGATTTTTCCGAATGTCTATGCAAACCTTCAAACGAAATTCTACTGGAGTATGGCCAGCTCAACTCCTCTTAACAAATGTGGGTCTACTTTTACTGAACTGGAAACAAATTTCTCTTAATGAAGTCCTACCATATAAAGTCTGTCTTGACAGCCAGTCCTTGCTTCTATTAGTGCCCCACCCCCCCCCCTTTCACTCCTTTTTTTACAGTTTATCCTTCCTTTTACCCTAAAGCATATCTTTTACTAGTCTGCAGATATATAATTACCAGATCTTAACTCCTCTGCAGAGTTCTGTGTCTTGCACATAAACCTCATAATGACAGCAGAAGGGATTTTCCCATCGCTGACATCTGGACATGTTTCCATTGTTGTTTTAACCATGTGGCAGTTTTATGTATCTCCAGTCCAATCCTTTGCTTTTAGTACCAGTTAGAGTAGTTAGTAGGGTTAGAACTTTTTAGGTAGTCATGTTACTAACTTGCGGAACGCTCACCGAACTATTAAAAAAAAAAAAAAAAAAAATTTGCGAACGGTTTTTCAAACCCCACTGATGTCCATGGGACCTGAAAAGCCTACACTCCACAGCCTAAATTACATCACCAATCTTGTCTCTAAAGATCACCCAAACTGTATTCTCCGCTCCTCGCAAGACCTCCTACTCTCTAGCTCCCTTGTCTCCTCCCATGCTCATCTCCAGGACTTCTCCAGAGCCTCCCCCATCCTCTGGAACTCTCTACCCCAATTTTCTCAGACTATCGCCTGCTCTGCTCACTTTTAGGCGATCTCTGAAAACCTATCTCTTCAGGGAAGCCTATCCTGCCCTCAGCTAATAATGGAATCTTCTACTCTTCCAACCACTCCATCCCCCACAGTTACTACCTTTTGTACCACTAGCCCCTCCCTCCTAGATTGTAAGCTCCAAGGATCAGGGCCCTCAAATCCCTCTTGTATTGTTGCTGTATTGGCTCCCATTATATTGTAAAGCGCTGAGCAAACTGTTGGCGATATATAAATCTTGTATAATACACTCCATTACAAGCCTCGTTACATCTGTCCACTGCTGAGAAGTGGCAGTTAGTCTGATGTAGACCCTTTAATATTTTCTCAACCTTCAGCACAGAGGAATCCTAGAAATATCTTTCCAGTCGCAGGGAACCCTTGCTAAAAATTACTATATCTACTACTCACGATATATTGGTGTGATGGTCAGTGGGAAGATTGTTCCTTACGCTTGAGGTCATTGGGAAGAATTCTCCCTTACAGATTGATAAAAAGATCATTGGTGTCAGCGGGAACTTGCCTAAAGGAGCAATTTTGCCTAAGGAACCCCTGGCAACCTCTGGAGAAACCCTGGTCTATATGGACATTAAAAGCTCCAAACTTGAGGCAACAGTTTGACTGTCTGTTATTCTATTCTGCATAATGGCTAAAAATAATTCCATTAAGAAGGAAACTTCTTTTGGCTCCCCACATAATTACATCATGGTACATCTGCCTTTCCATTTTTCTATATAATTTATTTAAGGAAAATAATTTTCTTCCAGGACTTGGACCCCCTCCCCGTTCTCCCGGTGTGAGGTCTCTCTACAGTACTAGTTGGCCCCATAACCCCTATATTATAGTTGGAGCTCTTTTTTGCTTACTTTTGAGGGATAACTAAGGATAACTGGAACACTTTAAAAAAAAAAAAAAAAAAAAAAAAAAAAAAAAAAAAAATTGGACCCATTGACCAAAACAACCAAACTTATTTAAGGTTTCAATCCAATAAGTAATACTGTATATGCGTTTTGGGTGGACTGACCCTTTAATGACCAGAGCACTTTTTGCATTTTGAAGATAAGGATTTTACCTATGGTTGCCTGTCTCTGTGAGTCTATTGTAGTTGGTTTTGAAACAAGTATGGATTTTTTGCAATTATGATAACTGATTACATATTGTAGCTGTTGTACTGGAGGCTTCCGAGCTGGTTGAATTGCCCCAACTATGTGATGGTGTGAGGAGGTGGTCTCGCCTGGTTGTGGGCTCATGATCATGGAGTACTATTGACTTGTGAGCTCACTCATCAATGCCCGGGACCAGACGGGGCCGCATTCAGGTGAAATTGACCTTATTATGGCACTCCAACCTGGAGAAGAACCATACAATGTGTGTAGCTGTGTGACCTACAGAGACCCTCCTGAGTGTGCTGTCCCTTGTCCCTACACACCTTGCTGTAGATTTTAGGAGGGACACCACTGAGCCTATGCCCTCTTGACCTCACTTCCAGTGAGAGAATGGGGTTCTGCAGAGCACCTGAAGGGACCTCATGCATGCTTTCAGTAACTCTTTATACTCTCCCGTACCATGCGGCTAGGCCAGGGGTCTCCGTAATGTGGGTTGGGTCCCGATACTTTTGGGGAACCGACTGCTGGCGAGGGAGTTGGAACACCAACCCCCCTCGCTACCAGAGGACCCTTCACCTCTGCCAGATACCATGCTTCATGACAGGCTGCTAAGCACTTTACTCCAGTCCTTTGTTACCCATGGCAACTGCTTACTACTTCCACTCCTGATGCTGAGTTAACTGTCCTTTTTTAAAAGACTTGCTTCAAAGCCCAAGTGCACTTTATTGATCCAAGTTCTTTTATATGCCAGGAACCATCATGCACTCCTTTAGAGTAACTTCAGACCAGGCTTGGAACAGTTGATGCAACGTTTACTTAATGATATGCAACACAGTCCAACATGAGCGAGAATTCCCTAACTAGTTGGCCCAGGCATACCTCAACAAGATGTTAGTACATCTCTGGCATTGTCCATAATGTAACGTTCTCCTGTATCAGCTAGCTTTGGGTGGACTGCAGCTCACAGAAGTCCCTCTCTGTAGCTCCATGGGATCACAACATCATGACTTTTCCTCGTGTGTGTGTGTGTGTGTGTGTGTGTGTGTGTATGTGTATGTGTGTGTGTATATATATATATATATATATCACGGAATATATATAGTCTGGTTCCAAAAAAAGAAAGGAGCAAAAAACAAAACCGCTCCTTCCCTAACCTGGGCCATCTCGCTTCCTAGCTACCGAACGTAGGCTGTTTTAGATAGAGTATTTATTTTTACCACCCACAAATGAATGCAAAGTTACTCCTTTTTCATGTGTCTCTTGCACCATAAATGGTTAGAACTCTACTGTTATGGTTCTTTATTTTATTTCATTAATTGCTAAGCTCCTTTCACTGTTTTCTAGGTAGCTGCTGAGCCATGGTGGACCACCTTGCCTACACAGAGATCAACACTCAGCGAATAGGGGCTGTAGAGGCATGTTTTGGTTCAGCTGGCCAACCTCTTGCCCTCCCAGGAAGAGTCCTTGTGGGTGAAGGAATACTGACTAAAGAATGCCGGAAAAAACCCAAGCCAAGGATCTTCTTCCTCTTTAACGACATTCTGGTGTACGGAACCATCGTCATAAACAAAGTCAAGTACAGCTGCCAACACATAATCCCTCTAGAAGATGTGACCACCGAGTTACTTCCTGACAACGAAGATATGAGGAACCGGTGGATGCTAAAAACATCTAAAAAGTCTTTTGTGGTTTGCGCAGCCTCCTTCACTGAAAGACAAGAGTGGATCAGCCACATCAAAGAGTGTTCCAGCCGGTTGATGGAGAAGACTGGGAGACGACCATCCTTAAAGCATGCAGCTCCGTGGATACCAGACAGAGCCACTGACATCTGTATGCGTTGTACTCACACCAAGTTCACCACTATAACTCGTAGGCATCACTGTCGCAATTGTGGCTTTGTTGTTTGTCAGGATTGCTCAAGAAATAGGTTTGTCATACCAGAGTTGTCCTCCAAGCCTTTAAGAGTTTGTAACCTCTGCCACAGAAAACTAATGTCTGAAAAGTTGGCTGAAGAAGAAGAACAAAAAAGAAGGGCACTTGAGTTGGACCGAGAGATCCCTGAGTTTGATCCTTCGAGTGAAGATGACAGTGAGAACGATGAAGAAAAGACCAGTGACTTTCTTTCAAATGAGGACTTTTACTCTTCATCGTGGTCGGCCTTTCATGCCTGATTGGGATTTATAATATTTATTAAGGACGTGCAGCATTACTAAAACCTAAAAACCCACGGCCTAAGCAAAAAAGACTAGGAGTGTGTTGCCTAACTCCCTTGAGAACAACTTGGACTGTGAGACTTGACCAGTACCTCTTCAGCTGGTGACCTTAGATATCTATCTCCTTGGGTTGTTCATAAAGTAGAGTTGTGGACATTCAAATATTTGCATATTCTTTATTATAGCAATCACCTTTTAAAACAAGCCCTCACTGATCTCTATAGCTGCAGGCACCGTGTATAATTGTATCCTCAAAGTTTACATCATATGTACTTTTAACTTCATTTCTGCAGCTCAGGTCATTCAGCTCCCTCCCTGCAGGGACTCGATTTTGTAGCCTGCCAGGCTTCTAATCTTTAATGCATAGCTTCCGACTGTCCCTGATTTTGAGGGACTGTCCCTGATTTTGAGGGACTGTCCCTGATTTTTTGAGGGACTGTCCCTGATTTTGAGGGACTGTCCCTGATTTTGAGGGACTGTCCCTGATTTTGAGGGACTGTCCCTGATTTTGAGGGACTGTCCCTGATTTTGAGGGACTGTCCCTGATTTTGAGGGACTGTCCCTGATTTTGAGGGACTGTCCCTGATTTTGAGGGACTGTCCCTGATTTTGAGGGACTGTCCCTGATTTTGAGGGACTGTCCCTGATTTTGAGGGACTGTCCCTGATTTTGAGGGACTGTCCCTGATTTTGAGGGACTGTCCCTGATTTTGAGGGACTGTCCCTGATTTTGAGGGACTGTCCCTGATTTTGAGGGACTGTCCCTGATTTTGAGGGACTGTCCCTGATTTTGAGGGACTGTCCCTGATTTGGAACAAAGGCCCTCTTTCCTCCTCATTTGTCCTTCATTTTGCTCTGCTCTGCACTTTTTCTCTTTCAAAAAGTGTTTCCCAGTGCTGAACCTTTCATCCAGTTACTAAATTGCTGCATTTGTAAATGTAAAAAGCCAGTATAAAGCAAAAGTAGTGGTTACAAAAATGCACTTGTGGGTCTAACTAATCACTTTTTTGGGGTATAATTCTTTAAACTCTGCCCATGTCAATAATCATACCAGACTGGAGTGCTGCCGATGCGGGTGGACACCCCCCCCCCCCCCCCCCCCCCCCCCCCCCCCCCCCCAAAGCATCCATTGCCTGTGCATGCTCCCTGGGAGTGCATGGCACCACAATCAGTGCCTGCTGTGTCCGGAGAACAGATCACTGTACGGGACCTCACACAAGTCATGTGATCAGTGATTATTGGGCAATCAGTGATCACATGAATAGTAGTAAGCAAGATATTACTTCCTGACATCATTGCTTACTATGTGTGAAATCTGTGAATCCTCAGAGGTCGCATAGTACAGGGCCATTCACAACAGCCTTGTACCATGGAACAAGCTGTGACCAATCACAGCTCTCACAGTATTTTTCAACAGCTGCAGGAATGCAGCCAGAGAGGAGAAAACACTGTACTGCTAGGGTGACAGAATGTTAGAAAAAAAAAAATCATACTATAAAAAAAAAAAATATGAAAAATTATAATTTTTGGTTACAAACAATTTTATTTTTTTTTTACTAAAAAGATGAATACATTTTGGCCGAGACTTATGAAGAAAGATTATTTATTTGCAAATTTTTTTTTTTTTTTTTTTTTTTTGGCCTTTCATTAGATATAGATATAGATCTCCCAGTGGTGAATAAATACCACCAAAATAATGTTTTATCTCTCAAAAAAAATGCTTAAAAATTAAAAAAAAACGGTGTTGCATGACCGTGCAATTGTCATTCAAAGTGTGATAGCGCTGAAAGCTGAGGCCTGGACTGGAAGGGGGTGACAGTGCCTGGTCTTGAAGTGGTTAAGGGGGCGTGGCAGGGGGTGTGTCCTATGCCTAATATACTTTTTGCTAATAGGCGTCCCTTGTTCCCATCTCCAAAAAGTTGGGCGGTATGTGTAATGTAAAAAACACAGAGGGTGCACAGGAATAGGAGGAAAGCACAGTGCTGAGACCTAACATGGATGAATAAACTAGAGAGGGCCCCACCATCTAAGTGTAAGCTGTTGGAATAAAATTAATGCTGCTGTCATCTATGCCCTCTTCAGCCCACTCGGCCCCAAGCGATGGTTGTACAAGGACGATGTCGCTATTTTTGGAGGCATGCCTACGCATTTCAGGGCTCCCCCTTTTTTTTTTTATCAGGCCTTTTTCTTCCAGCTTGATAAAGAAGCAGGGCCCCCAAACACGTAACCGCACTGCCTTAGGCTACTGACCTCATCCACTTATGTATTTCCTTGGAGCCTAGCCCGAGCAGGCCAAAGAGTCCTGGAAGCTGCAGATCCCACCGTGACCGCTTGTGTTCCATCTCAGCGCACTACAGCAGATCTTCTCCCTCCTCTACTTCAGCAGCTTCCTGGCTGTAAGCTGCAACCACCAACCACTTGCCTGCAGCACAAAGTTGCTCCTTAGATGATTCCAGCTACTAAAGAAAAAGCTGGACACCTTCATTACCCAGTGAATGCATTATATTATTCCAATAAAGAGCTTACACTTAGATGATGGCGCCCTCTCTCGATCACACTTTTTTATATGTGCACTAGGTTTACTCAGGACCTGGTCCAGGGAAGCAGCAGCAGCGACTGTGTTCTACATTCTCCTAAAACTTTTTAATTTAGCCATATCCCATATTTTTTTTTTTTTTTGGGGGGGGATCCAGCCTAGTCCAGCAACCCCATAGTTATAGTATTTGCTGAGGCCTAACTTGAATGGCTTTTCTTTTGTGAAGGTGGAGGATGAATTGCTCCATAGCATCTGCAGCTACCAAGGTCAGTGAGGGCTTGGCTACGGTTCTTGTTTATGCTGATCTTGACCAACATGCATAGCAATGATGTACTGCCAACCAATGATCCAGGAAGTTGTCCCTGGTCAAAACAAAATGGGTCCAATCAGTGTCCACAAGCGGACTACTACTACTGGACTTCACGTTTTAAGAAAATATAGTTAATATCTACTTGATGAAGATCTAGACTTTAATGTGTCTTAGTAGGTTCCATGCTGGTCCATGGGTTCCTAAAGGATTAGTATTGCCACAAAGTTAAAATCATCCATGTCTATGAAGATATCTCTTTTGTTGGGGGTAGAGTGTGGCAGGTCCTAATCTCTCCAGCAGCTTGCAAAGCTTTGTAGACCTTGCCAGAGATCTTCTCACTGGAGGTCTCCTCATTGGCTTCAGTGAAGACCTGGATTGGGATCCATCCCTTCTGCAATCCTGCCAAACCAGACAACTCCATTTTTTTGGTGGTGTTGCTCTGTATTTGTAAAACTTTCTAAAACCACCAATGATACTAACCATGGAAGCTCTCCTTCAAAACTGAAAGAAGGAACTGAATCCTGGTGGTAATGGTTCTGCAAGCAAGTTCCTCCCTGAGCTCTGATGAATAAGTCCTTTTCTGTATGTTCAGCTGCATGTTAACTCCCATACAAAGGAATATTAAGGATGCAAACACTGGTGACATTTGGGTTTTATACGTCACTGCCTATCACAAGCGAATGTCATGTGGGTTTCATCCTTTTTGCATCTTAGTGCTGTTGATCTTTCAGCCACTTCTTGCTCTCTCGTGATCACTTCAATGTCGGCTGCTTATCGTTCTTGGACAGCTTTTTGAAAATGACCACAGAGGACCATCCTAGTGCAATATGTGTTCATATGGCCATTTGCAGCCTTCCTGAGGGGTTCCGGGTGACAATGCAGAAGCCCCATTAGGGGATAGGTGTCATCCCATACCCGGAAGTGCCTGTTTCTTCAAGCAGGGATTTATTTTAATGAAGGCCAAACATTTAAAAAGACCAAAAACCGCTTTTATAATGATGGTAACCTGTTAGAGCCTAGAGGAGATCTACTGATGGGGTTTAGAGCTTAGAGGTGATATATTGGTGAGGTTTAGAGCTTAGAGGAGATCTACTGATGGGGTTTAGAGCCTAGAGGAGATCTACTGATGGGGTTTAGAGCTTAGAGGTGATATATTGGTGAGGTTTAGAGCTTAGAGGAGATCTACTGATGGGGTTTAGAGCCTAGAGGAGATCTACTGATGGGGTGTAGAGCTTAGAGGAGATCTACTGATGGGGTTGGAGCTTAGAGAAGATCTACTGATGGGGTTTAGAGTCTAGAGGAGATCTACTGATGGGGTGTAGAGCTTAGAGAAGATCTACTGATGGGGTTTGGAGCCTAGAGGAGATCTACTGATGGGGTGTAGAGCTTAGAGGAGATCTACTGATGGGGTGTAGAGAGCTTAGAGGAGATCTACTGATGGGGTTTGGAGCCTAGAGGAGATCTACTGATGGGGTTTGGAGCTTAGAGGAGATCTACTGATGGGGTTTGGAGCTTAGAGATCTACTTGATGGGCTTTAGAGCCTAGAGGAGATCTAGTGATGGGGTTTGGAGCCTAGAGGAGATCTAGTGATGGGGTTTGGAGCTTAGAGGAGATCTAGTGATGTGGTTTGGAGCCTAGAGGAGATCTAGTGATGGGGTTTGGAGCCTAGAGGAGATCTAGTGATGGGGTTTGGAGCCTAGAGGAGATCTAGTGATGGGGTTTGGAGCCTAGAGGAGATCTAGTGATGTGGTTTGGAGCCTAGAGGAGATCTAGTGATGGGGTTTGGAGCCTAGAGGAGATCTAGTGATGTGGTTTGGAGCCTAGAGGAGATCTACTGATGGGGTTTGGAGCTTAGAGGAGATCTACTGATGGGGTTTAGATCTACTTTTAGTGGGACACTCTCGTGCCAAGCTGCCCAAAAATCACCAAGCTCTCAAATCTGCAAGGCTGTATATAAATTGGAGAGTAATGTGCATTATCTCAAAGCAACCAATCCAAACTGATCTTTTATTTGTTTGGCTACAGGAAGGAGAAGGTTGATTGATTGCTATGAGTTGCAGCACTCATACCCCATTCCTTGTTCTCCTTTACCAAAAATTTAATTTTGATTAGT